GACGGCAGGGGGGGTATAACAATGACAACAAGAAAAACAAAGAGAAATAGATTAAAGGAATGTTTGGCTGTTGGATTTGGATTAGTATCAGAGAGAGAGAAACAACTATGGAAAAAAGAAAGAGGTGCTCGATTCAATATGGGACTAAAATGAGTTGCGGTTAGCGGATTTTACATAAATTAGTCTGTAGAACGTTACGGTTGTCTGGTGATATCTCAAGTGCTAAAATGAGAAGTTTCATCAGGGTGGAATCCTGCAAAAACAGAGAAGAATACAAAGAGTCATGGATGGGCTAGCTGCGCTCGAATGAACTGCAGTCCAACGGTAATCAATCGTCTGGCGGCACATGATTCATCCTTCGAAATACTTCTGTCGGTTTTATGTATGGATTTGCGAACACTGGATCCTGGGTGACAGTCGCGTGGACGCGGTTCACTGCTCGGATAAAATAATTCGGTGAATGGTCTAAAAACATGCGTGGATGAATTAGGAAAGTTTTGAACTGATCGCTTGTGGTCCATACAGCAACTGTGGCCTGAGGTTCACGAGCACCAGAACAACTGCGACAAAGAGAGAGAGAGATGTGAACGGTGAGGCACAATAGCTTGAATGGCCGTAAACGTAAAAAAGACAATACAGAGATGAAATAACCAGAGAAATGACGGACACTTGAGAGAGAAAACAGACATGCTCCTCGTTATGTAGAATTTACAGTGGCAACTAATTTTTATGGACAAAACGTCAGGGAAAAATGACCCAATTGTATGAACAAAAATGGTCATCTTAGTCGGAAGGTGTCACTTCGGCTGGTGATGGAACAATCACATTTAAACTACCAAGCCCAAATAGCAATGGGAACTGAACAAAACCTCCAGACTGGCTTTGAAAGAAAAGAACATTACGTGACACCCGAAAACCGTTGTTTTATCACTGAGTACAGCTAAAAGGATAACAGTGATTTGTTGAAAATTCTAGATTCTACCCGATGAATGGACTTTGGACAGGGAGAAAAAGGGGAGTTGGCCAACGTATACGGAACCGTAAGTAGAATTTTTCTCGCAATTAGTTGGATACATCATGAAAAAAGATGCTAGGGGAGACATTAATTAATAATTGCGCTGTCATTGCTAATATTATTATGATATTCACTGAAAAAAAATCGGTAATTCCGGAGGCAGGAACAGAAACTGGTTATTGAAATTGAGGATCGTGATAGACGAGAGAGAGAGAGAACAGGTTGTAGCGGAATTAGCAGGCACAACCTCTGAGGTGCTGCTGTTATGATAACAACCACAAACCGCTTGAGCATCGGGGCAAAACAGATAAGAAATAACAGGTGACAAGCGTGCAACGATTACAAGTCTGGGCGAGAAATGAATGCATCTGAACAGATAGGAACGTGAACGGTAAACACTGCGCATCGGAATGATTTATGAGAATAATCAACTGTAGTGTACATCTACCTTGAACATTCAAAGAAAGTGCAGCCAAGCATACGGAACGATCAACTGGTTCGCATTCAAGCTGTCCGTTAAAATAACATAAGGGAAGTTATTTACAGGTTGGAAAAATTAAATATAGAGGAAACAAAGGGTTGAGTTTGCCGTTTGAGTCACCAATCTAGCAAATTTTGTTTGTAATTCATGTCAAATGCTCAGTCCGATGGCGGTTCTCTATTACGAAATATTCATCAAAACTATACTAATAAAACCAAGTATACCGTAGTTCAACTCCACCAACTCCACGTAGCGCAATAGTCATACAGTCACATGAATGCCGGTCCATCTGTTAAGTTCAAACCAGCAGAAATTTGCAAATCAATCCCGGCATACACAGATTCGTAAACATTTTCTCGCCCTCAAGCGTACAGGAAGTCCTTGAGTACCGATGGGCTGCGCAAATATGATCTTGTGCGGCTTAGCAAGATAACAACTGACTGACGTGTGGAGTAGTCGTGCACAAAGGCATATAACTAGCGACTAATAGTCCGTCACACAAACACACGCAAAAAATACGCGCCGTTCTCGATCGTCAAAAACCAGCGCGCGGAAACGAATAAAATGAAGGGTGATGGACTAAAGGGAGAACTTGACCTTAATTCGCACGGTTGCGGCGCGTACACGCAAGTCAACAGCACGGACTGAGATAAAACTATCTAATCAAACCAACGGTCGAACGCAATGTGAGGGAGGCAATTTATTCCTGAGTCCGACAGAACGAGTATATCAGTTTTTTGCCTCCGGTTGCGAAGGAAAATGCGAAACTATTACGCAACCATACGAAGCCAGAAAATGAGAGGTACCGGATATTATGCTTGAAATTGTGATCTAAAATGTTCGTAAGCCTTGCTCAGATAACGAATGACGTGAAAAATATGTACTTTTTTTACAGGAGACCTAGAAAACACAAAGTTACAATAAACCACGATAATATTATATCTTTTACAACCATTAAGATGGTATCCGACCAACTCGGGATGTTCATTGCCGCGCAAAGCAGAAAGAGCAACTTGATCTCCAAAGTTCATGAGTGCTTCTCACATTGATGGCTTAAACAGGGTTTACGGATGCCAATGAATTTAACTGCCGTGATGTGAAATGGGCACTGAATATGGTAAGCGGATTTATCAACCATATAGCCAACAAGATCAGATAATCAGTGTTAAAAATAGCCAAAAAACACAAGGATAAGTAAACTACTGAGAGCGTACATAAATGGCATCCGCAGGGGCTCCTAAATGTTCACTTATTCAGTTTGTCAAAGGAATCTAGTGCATTTTGTAAAATGCTTAAACGGCCTGTAGTGTTTGCACAGGTTTATCCAAGTTGAGAGATCTGATAACTGCTAAAACATGAGGGTCAAATGACGATTTTCCGGTGTTCAAGTAGGGCAATCGATGGTCGCATTCACCCGAAAGGGTACTGACTCCTGGGGAGCCGCAGTGATAAAACTAATAAGAACCGGGGCATTGCTTTTGTTCTGAGAACAGAGGGCTAACACTGTGATATAAATACAGTTCAACAGATAGCTCGAACAGAGAACATAAAAACATCAGACGGCTTTACAGCAATTTGGTGAAAAATGAATAGTTTGGGAAATAAAAAGTGAGAAAAAATCAACGGAAACGGTGAAAACCGACCAAAGAGAGGTGCCTCATTGACAAGTACGACTCACCAACCATGGTCGTTGACCACATCCGCTGATAAAAACGGTTCTCGTGCCTCAGAACTGACAGACCAGGCTGGTTGATCACTTCCGCTGGAAGATGAAGAACGACGTGGCCAATCATAGCGTTGTGGATAGGAATTTTCCAAGTCAACATCGATGATATGTAACACTCGACCACCCATTGTGGCATCACGCAGCTCATACGACTTTTGTCCCTCAGTATCTGGAATCGGACCAAATGGTTGAGTCAACTGAGTCGGATTACAGTCACCAGCAGCGGCACCGAGTGTGTTTGAGCAAAATAAGCGTGAGGATTGGGGATCAATCCAACGAAGCAGGGAGCGTTCACCTTGCACCAGTCGACTGGGCCATTTGGTACATGAGACTGAATGAAAAAAAATTATCGAAGACGGTTGAAATGAAGCATGGAAGAATAAATGAATGTGAGAAATACGATGAATTCATACATACCGTATTACCTTAACGAGTGCCTTGAAAACCTTTTGAGTCAACTTCTGCACCCAACAGGATAGTAAGTTTTTTTGATTCTTCGAGATACGACACATCCGAATAGTCGGAAAGCACCAAACAGATGTCACCGGAATAAAATCAATAAATGTGATGATTTTGACTGACGACTTTTATAATCACTCCAGGGTTGAAAAAAGTTAATATCTGTTACACATGTTTGATTTCCTTGTAGTGCAGGGGGTGCACAAGTAAAACATAACCGACTAGGAAATGTGTTGTCCTGTAGAGTGCACTCCAGTTCATTCATCCAAATAACTGCATTTACTTGCCCAGATCGTGGATGTATTGCCGCACCTAGTCACTACAGCAAAAGCCACCTCTTGATTGTCTTGGGTTTTGTACTTTGTGTTCCAAGTTTCCTCTTAGCTGCATAAAAGCATGGATCCTTTGAATTGCTTCAGACAATTTACGATGAACACATTCTGTAGAAATCTTGCTTACACTTATCCCCCGAGCCATTTCAATTGAGCCTATTATCTTTGATCTAATTTAGATATTCGTTGAACAAGTTGAATTGTCCAGTTTTCATTATCTTAAGATTTGAATTTCCAATTCTACTATCTGAGATTTTGAAGCATGCTATTACAACACAATTTATGACCAGTAACACACAGGGATTTACTAACGAAAGGAGTGGAGTTTTCCATAGGTCGATCGTGGACATGCGAAACGCCCTTAATATGCGGTGTTCAAATGGAAGACTCGTCTTCTGGAACCGGTGAGTGACATTGAATGAGAATAGCCTTCAGGATACAATCGGTCACATTGACGACCTGCGTGGCTTAAATCTTAAAGATCCCCACATGTTTTCACTAGGTATCACATTTCTCTTCACGAATGTTCTCATCGGCTAAACAATTGAGTATCGGTGTGCCCAAGTCGAAAGCATCAGGATTAACGTAGGTAGTAATGACGTCCCCGATAAGGGTCCTTGTTTGTGGCGGCTTTTGTATTTAAAATAGAAAACCGTCCACTTGAAACACATCGAAAAATGCGTACGGTAAAAAAGGTTTCGTAAAAGATATTTGGTTTATGGTCGATTCCACAACGGACGGCAAACATCTACTAGATCATTTCAATGCTGAGCAACGGAATTTTAAATTACCGCTGGAAAATTAGGCAAACAATCAGCTAACGTATTTATACAGACGTTTTCCTAACTAGTCGTGATGACGGAGTCTATCAGGTTGTCAGTACCCGAACGGATACCAGGAGCGCTTGGTGGAATCTGTGATTCAAAGACAAGGGGCGTTTCCCAAGAGGGTCAATGATGAGAAAACGTCTTTTAACGGCGACACCTTAGCACAGAATGCGCATAGGCTATCAACTGCTAGCAACATAACATTCTACGCAGCCAAGCTACAAACCGGATTCACATGTAGCCCGTTAGTGTATTTACGGTTAGAGGATAGAATATCCCATTCTGCTGTTTCTCTCTCTGTATTTACTTTCACTGGCCCCTGTGGAGCAAAATATGTTGGTCGCACGACCGGGTGTTTGTTCCAGCGCATCCGTGGTTGAGAAGCGGAGTAATCAAGTCAATAATAAGTGCGGTCGTGTCACACTTTGTCGACACCGTGAGCCGTCCGACCCTTGCACAGAGTTGAAACAGGACAATATAGACACGTGCAGTTTTGTACTGTAGCTAAAGCGGAGGCAGTTGGTATCCGTCTTCACACACATACCTGTGCTCAAAAACAATTTGTGCAAGCACTCAAGCACCCATGACCGGATTGCGACAAGTGACCCGTTATGAAACCTCCAGGCTAAGGATAATTGGGGACCAATTATGACACGAACTGTGGAATACTTTAATTACTTCCCCTTGGGGTTATTGTAACGAATATATATATAATGATCAAATGCTTTTGAGAAGTCCAAATAAACTATATCCAATGGCTCCGCTGCATCGACGGATATTTTCCGTTCATCACATGCAAAAAGTATATCTGTGGTGCGCGAACTTTGTGCCGAAATCCCTGCTGAGCTGAAGACAAAATGTCACGCTCCATACTCCATCAACAGATAGGCCACAATAACCCCTAAGACTTTCAACAGTATCGGAATGCAAAAGGGCAGTAGTTGGCGGGATCACTGTGAGAACCTCCTTCCATGGCTGCGGAACGACACCTTGTTGAACATCCTTCGGCAAAGAACAGTCAGAGGTTCGGATATGTCGAGGGCCAGGGAAATGAAAGTCCGAGGATGCATATTTTTCCCCCTGGGAATGGATTGTTACCCGAAGTGAGTAGTTTTGCTCTTACAGTCTCACTGTCAAAAGCCATATTAACCAGTGCTGGATACGGTATACAGGGTATTATGCTTGGAATCTGTAATGCTTTGTGTATTAGCGGTAAACACTTGTTCGAACTGGAATGTGAGAAAAGCTGTTGCTTCCAGCGTGATAATTGAAACGTGTTCAGACGACCTCAATGCTAATATTGCGCATTTCACCTTCCTTGTACAATTGATAAGGCAGTTTTAGAATGGAAATGAATCTTTACCCGGAGTTTCGTGGTATATTAGTTTGTTCTCTCTCACAAACTTGGCACACTGATTTCGCAGTCAAATATAATTATTTTAAGTTTCGATAGATAGCCATCTTCTGTACTACCGCCAGTAAAAGTCCCTTTCCTTTATTTATTTGCCGAGTTTCAGATTTAGCAGATTTAGCCACTATTATTTCGACAAGATATCCGGTGGAGCTTTTTCATGCCACCAAAGGATCGTGATCGTTTTCTGGGAGGACTCACTGCTTAAGTGCTATCAAATTTTGCATCTGTTTTAGTCCATGAGAGCATCAGTACTGCCCTCCCGGTCTTCTTGGGTAAAGGAGCAGCCGATGTATTATAAATTCGATACGGCATGATCACTGCGTCCTAATGGAGACGTGACGTTGGCAGATCCCATCATCAGTTCCTTGTTCGCCATCACTAAATCTTATGTTGAGGGTGACCTGCTTCAAATCTGGCGGGTTCTGTTACTTGGTTATGCAGTGGGCGCCAGTCAGTGAACTGTGATAACTAACTGCCTCTTAAATGACTGGCGGGAAGTCCTCGTTCTAATAAGATTGGGAAAGTTAACATGACCCATTAAGGGGGAACTTTAGTGATAAGGCGGAATTCCTCGTAATTTGCAACAGAATCTCGTTAGCTGAGTCTGAAGATGCAGGAAGTCGGTACATGACACCGATGGGACACAAATCATTTTTAGAAAGTCTTAGCGAACACCTAAATGAATTGGGGGCTGCATTTGGAATAGCAAACTGTTCACACTGTAGATTATCTCAATGAGCAAAGCGCACGCAACAGTCAAATGGACTTGTCACACCATTCGGTATGGTCTTTTGCATCTTGAAAATGTCCAGTGAAGCTGCAAAACTGAAGCTTGATGCTCAAGAATTAGATACAGTGGACTGCCTCTGTTACGTTAGAAACGATGTTACAAATAAAAGCAGCATGGTAAAGAAGGTAACCATCACCCGCAATCCACAGGCTCGACCGGCATATGCAAGAAACACCTTTGACACTGCGTAGTTTCCTTGGAAGTGAAAGGTTGCATATACTGTCACAGTGAAGGTCACTTCTGCATTACGGTGGTGAAACTCTAAGCGTGTGCGCAAAAGACATTCGTGCTCTTAAGATCATTGATTGTCACTGTTGATGTAATTTGGTGCGTGTTGAACTGAGGGAGCGGATAAGCAAAGCTGAGATAAGCCGACTAGTGTTTGGGAATTCATTGTCACATCTAATTCAGACTACTGGTTAGGACACGTAGTGCGCAAGCTCAGCTGTCATCTGCCACACCATGTCTTATTCACTGTTGCTGCTCAGTTTGAAGCAAACGATGTGATGATCAACAGATGACGTGGAGAAGAGGTATGACGATTAGGTAGAGTAGATGTCACATCTCCTAAGTTTAGCTTCAAAAGACTGTAATCTGTTGGTTGGAGTCATTGAAGAACAGACAAGGAACCGATAACAGTGGTGTTCTTGTGTTCATTTATTATCAGACAAGAATGGTGCGACAAACGTGTATCCAGTTAAATTATTTACTCCATGTGATGACCAAAGAGGTTCATCTTCTTTAGCTCTCACTCAAAATAAGACCAAATGCCGTCCACATCACACATTCTCACTTATTTTGTGTACAAGGTGAACATGCAGCGACTAGTGGATGTCACTTCAGTGTATACTAATGTACGATGATAATGATGGAACGGACGGTATGAAAATCCCTTGAGCAATGACTCTGATCTTAACAACCAACAAAAGCCTATTCTCACCCCTGTGAAGCTCACTAAATTTATTGCGGATGAGAGCTCTATCTTTCAACATTTTGGTATGCAAAAATGGAGTGAACAGATGTGCTGATTCCCATTTTTACTGGCGTGACGCGAGAGTACTGTAAAATTCTTTCCTCGAATAAAGCTGGACGTGCATAGTTCAATATCTGCCTTGACCTGTGCATTTCAGATTTCTAATTTGCTGTTTAGGATATCATTACCCTGCAATATCGTTTTGCCTTGGTGTTCACTATAACTATTACATATAAAAAGACCTATTCGCTGTCCCGTTGTATATCAATCCTATGAATTTAGTATCATCTGCTACATTCAATAAACAATCAATAACCGAATCGTTGAAAATGTGAATTCATCAGTAGCTATTACCAAAGCAGTTTCAGTATCAGTTCGAACAACCATTAAGTATGCATTTCCGTGCGACGCTTTTGGTTGCTGTCTTTTAGCTGCCCATTTGGGTGAACAGAAAGAGGAAAACAGGAAGGTCATTCATTCATTCATGACAGTGAAACAGGGATCAATGAAGTAAAACATTAACATATTTATCAA